TATATAAGTAGATGATTTCATGAGTGAACGGCAGAAAACGTAATATCCAGAACCGTTGCGACGGTAAAAACGTAGCAAGAGGGTCACTATGACGTCCCATAAAATTGCTACTTTTAACAAAGCCATTTAAACCATACTTGATTCATTTCAAGTATTAAACAACGATGAGACCGCTTTTAGTATTGTCTCCTTTCATTCAAGAATATTTTATTTATCATTTTAAGTTTAAACAAAAATAGACAACAGTATCAATTTAAAATATTCTTATAATTCATTCAATTATTTTTTGTGTTCCTTTTCTTTTAGTTGACAATGAAATTATTTGAATGAGAATCGTTCAATGAAGAATTTTCTAATCGATATTATAAAACTTTAACAAATTAATATTCAAACATATTACTATATATATAATATATTATTTCTATGTCATCTATATGTGAGATTTTTTTGTATTCGTAATAAAATAACTTAATAAATTTTCTAATATCGTGAAAAAAATTTTGAAGAAATGTATTGAAATAGTTAATGATAAATAAGAAATATTATACAACGATAAATATTGTATAACCCACGTTGTCTTTAATATAGTACAAACCATTTCCTGAGATAGTCTATCATGAAAAGTCGTCTAATGGTCATCTAGAAGTCATCGAGGCAAGACGAACTCGTTGTACCGCTTAGTGATAGCTAGCTAGCTTGGAAGAAGTCCAGGGCTGTGTGCATGACCTTCGCATATTCTCGCGTAACGTGCACGTGCACGTGCACTTATATATTTTCTTGGGATCGTCGAACTTTTCTTATGAAATCTTTTCAATGATATCAATTTCATTAACACAATTTTCTTTATATTTTCATTCTTCATAATTTTAAATTTAATTTTAATCATTTTAATCATTCAATCAACTTTATCTTATTAACTTTTAGGAGATTCTCCAATTTATATGTTTATCAATTATTACTGAATATTTTAAAATACATCTAACATGAAATTGTTGTGAAAGATTTAAGACGAATAGCTCTTTAAAATATTTTTTTTTCCTTCGATGTCCCAAAATATTTGCTGATAACCAGTAAAAGCTTGTATTCTCGAACTATAAATTAATCAGCTAGGAAGCATTCAAATAATTTATAGTGCCATAAAATATAGTTGTAGTTACAAGGAACGATCAATCGGACAATGCACTTATGTGAAAACGTGTAGGTGTATATGCTACATGTATATGTATTATATATATATACAGAGATGTATATATTGTATTATGTATTAGATGCATTGTCGCCTGATGAAATACTCAAGTGAAACTTTAATTGTGTTGCGTATTCGTTTGATTTATATTCTTTTTAGACTGTTTCTATTACATAATACTTTCTATCAATGACATCGCAAACTCTGTTAAATCAACTCGAAGGATACAAGAGTTAAAATCTTCAATTGATTAATAAAGTCAGGGCCTTTTCTTCTGATAGCATCAATCAATGATCACGGTCATGGAAATTCATTAAAGTACCGAAAGATTTAAATTCTAATAGAGATAATATAAGATGATTGAAGAATATACATTTATGAAAGTTGAAAAATATCAAGATAAATCGAAAAATCTAACACAATGATATGAATTATTAATTACACAAGAGTTATGAATTCTTTAGAAATTGGTAAATAGGAAAATTGAATTAAGTTATGATTGGAAAATATTTATTTTAGTCGTGGTTATGTTGGTAGGGAATCATGGAAGCGAGGCGTATGCACATTGCAAGTCTGAACAGGTTGAGAGAAGTCCAGGGTTTGCTGTTAACCTTCCTCTGGAGATCAGTGAAATGTGAGAAGGAATAAAACGAAGAAAGAAAGAAAGAGAGAAAAAGAGAAAGAGAGAGAGAAAGAAAGATACAAAAAGAAAAAAGATATGTATAAGCATGGGGAAGCCCTCGCGAAGCAAGCTTGTCGTTCAATAAGACAGGTGGGGATGAAGGCCGTTGGCTCCGTTCGTGGCAAATACCTCGACAACGTACACCTAGACCTACATAAACAAGATAACGAGTTTACCAGACGTTCCTACGTACATACATGCATACGAGTTCACATTGGAGAACCCGAAGATGCGACCGATGTAACAAACCTCGCTCGATCTTCCGCTTATAGATAGTTGCTTTTACTTGCCAGAGTATCTTCTGTTCCTCTTGCTTGTACCTTTAATCCGGGTAGAACCTTCCAATATCAAACCGTCTGCATTTTCTTTTACTTCGAACGTAAAACAAATTACATTTCTTTTTGTTTAATTTTAAGCTATATATTTTTTTATAGTAGGTATATATTTTTATCACATTTAACTTCATACATTATTTTTCTGATAACGATTTCTCACACGTGTCCAACGTGTATACATAACACGAGAAACTACAAAGCGTACAATCACGATCTCGGGAACACTTGAGCGGTAAAATTGTCAGCTGTGAATTTACTTAAGTGAATACTTCCAGACAAGAAACAGAATATTTAAAAAAAAAAAAAAAAAACAGAACTGCATTGTGTAAATAGTGAATTTTAATGTCTTATTTTTTGTATATTAAATCAACGAAAAATATAACATATTTTGAATCGTTATTAAAATTTTCTTTTGAAGTGAACAAATATCTAATTAACTGTATTATTCTATTAAACTACATTAAATATAAGAAAAATTAAAACTAATGAAACGTTTTATTAAACGATCGTTTAACGATGTTATATCCTATTTCAGATAGGACTATTTTCGGTGTCCATCCTCGCGAGATGTGGACGAGTAGGAGCTTGGGTGTCCTGTTAACGATACTGATCGTCCTGATCGGGGATCGAATAACGAGCTCTCAAAAGCCTCATCTTGGTGGTGCTGTTAACGTCTTTACTCGTTACGGTTATCTAAGTATCAGTATGAGGGTTGTGCCGCGTAATGACACGGACACTTGGATATTTCGCGAGCCAACTTTAGATGTCTTTAAGAATCCAAAAGCTATACCATCTAATCAATTACAACAAGGAAAATCGATGACTACCGTATTCGATGGTGATTTTCACATGGAATTTTGTGACAACGTAAGACAACTTCTACAGGCATATTTCCGTGATTTCACTTTCGAGAGATTAGAAAGACCTTGGCGAGCGTTTACTGCCAGTTGGTCAAAAGCTGCCATCGCTAGGCATCTTGGTATAAACGCATCTTTCATCGGCGGTGATTATTGTTACGTTCTTGTACGGGTCGCCAGATTTCGAGAAAATCAAAAGCTCGTTGCTACAGCTGAATCATTAATCCTTGACGAAGCTGTACTTAGAGAAACGGAGAACGTCACAGTTGGTGATACCTTTAGTGTCATTAGTTTTATCAGGAACTATGGCTCTCATTACATCGCTTCTTATATCACTGGGAATTCACTCTATCAGGTGAGAATATTTATTTTTATTAATTATTTAAATCAAACATGTGTGGGCAACTTAATGGCCAACGAGCTACATGTTGTTTCTGTGCTTCTACTTGCAATCCTTAATATTTGACATTACTGTTATTCGTGAAATCTCTTGGGTAACACGGTTTTTGTTTTTAAACATTAAACAATAGCTAATGAATTTTGTTATGTGGAGAAACAGATTAATTGATGATGATCGTGTGACTACGATAGAAAAGATGTTACTTATTTTTGATCTAATGTAAATCATCCTTTTACATTTTTTTGTAAGATGAGTTATTAGCTTTTTTCAATTTTTTGACTTAATAAAACATAAAATATGTTGTAACGACAATATAATTTCTATTTGTAATGAAATGATTTTTTTTCTAAATAGATAATAGGGTCAACTTCATCGGATTAAGTTGGCAAATGATAATGTCTAAAAAAGTATGGTACCTTTCTCTCAATTTGTTTCTCAACGCTCGACCTCGTCAATTCTCGCGAGAGGAAACGACTTATATCCGATCATGCCATTCTATAGTTATTGAAACGAAATTACCTATCCGTATAGATCTTGTGAGAGAAAAAGAAAGAGTTCAACTACCCGTTATAGTAATAGTAAGAGAACAATTACCATTGTTCTTAGAAACATATGTATATACTTAGAATAATCATTGATAATTAGCACCGATTAGATCTAAATATGCATCATTGGTACTTCAACGTCGTTTCTTCGAAATGAAATAACTTGACACTCGAAATATACCAACGAATTATGCAATAAGTTAAAATTAACGATTTATATAATCCTTGTTTTTTCTTTTTGTAGGACGACGTAGAAAAAATACTTTCACTTAAAAATCGAAAACGTTATTTGGTCAATAGTATTGTCAAGACTACGATATCAAAATTTAAAAATCTTTTAAATAATTGCTAATTAGCCTTGCAAATAAAAGAATATAATTTTTGTTTCCAGGTATTTGTTTACACTCCTCAAGTATATCTACGTATAAAGGAACGTTTAAAATTACGTGGTGTATCCGAGCTTTCAACATTGGAAATAAATAATTATTTCTCACCTTGGTACGCTGAACATATGGGTGCCATACAATCAGCAAGTGGTAATCGTTCCGTAGAAGCTTGGGCTGTTGAAAGACTTCGAATACATTATTACATCTTCTCGTATGCCAGTTTGTTGAAACTTCATGGAGATGCTGCCTTGCTCAGACAATTAGACGGCTTGCTCGGAAACGAGGCACTTTTACAACTCCAACTTCGTACTTTAGCACCAATTTTCAAAGATTCGAAGAAACGCGAGTGGTTCCTAGAAGTGATCGACAATTATTTTAAGCTTTGGGAAGTGAACATGTGAGATGGTTAAATTGCGATTACGACAAATGCAATGTCGTAAAAAAGAGGTCTTCACTTAATAGTGATTCGTTAGAGGAATATGATGTTATGATCTTTGAGATCCAAGATTGATCGAGATGATTTATATAACTGACGATGATCGAGGACCGGTTCGATAATTTTATGGATTTCCTCTTTGATTTAAACGTTCCTGGAAAGCCGTACTGAACTATATATTACGTACACACGACTTTTCACGTATTTAGCCCAACTGTTATTGTTATAAATAAGTATTTATTATTATATAATCGTTAATAGAAAACATTTTTATACAAAAAGTTTGTAATATATCACAAGCGTTATTCAATAAGATCTCTAATCGGAAAACGCGCTGATTAGAATGTCATCTAGATAATCAATCTGTTGAATTAATATTTTAATCTTATTTTCTAGATTATGTATAGGAAAGGAAAAGAAAATTTTATTTTAATATCAATAATCAATAGCTATCGTTATTGAATTGCTTTTAACAATACGTACAAAAACGTAATGTTGCTTATTCTTCAAAAAAGTTATTACTAATAAAGCAGCTGCGTTTTCCGTTTGATTATTTACGTTAATTCGTTTAATATTGGGATTAAAGTATTTGACGTCATTTATTTTTATGATTATACATGTTGGACGGTAATTAGGATAATTTTTTTCGTCGTCATTTTTTTTTCTCTTTTCTTTTTATATATATATACGAAAAAAACCTATTCTATTGGCACGATGATCCTACTGGGTTAGATATTAGAAAATTATGCAAATTTTACGGTTTTATAGTGTTTTCTATTATTATACGCGATCACTCCCAATTTGAATACGTTTATTCATCGAATTTTGATTGTATTATAATATAGTATCCTAAATGATAGAAAAAAACGCTATTTACGCGCATCAATTCGTATATTGTGCTCTTTAAAAAGTATTTCGATAAAAGACTTGTACATATTATTTATCGATAGAATTAGTCATTTGTTGTACGTTCATCTTGTGTAGATGGGTGAAGTTAAAATTATGCGAACTACAAAAGTATCGACTCGATATTCACATCATCTTTAGAATATTGTGCTTGAAATTCTTTCTCAGGTTACGGACACAGAAAGTATCTATAAGTATATTTTCTATCGAGAGTATCACTATTAATTGACATCTATAACAAGAACATAAAATTACTTTTCAAATATTGCAAAGTGGCGTGTCTTCTTGTATCACACATACATTGAGTACCAACGCCATCGATTATAGAATTTGGAGTTCACTGTTTGTTTTACTATGTGACCAGTGAACCTTCTTAATACAATACAATATGATAATACAATAACTTAGTAATAACATATAAACATATCAAAGATATTTTCAAGAGTCTTCAACAATCAACGTAAATAATAGACTGAAAATACATTCTATAATACGAATAACGTAAATTATGCGATCATACAAATAGCTTCTTCTCTTTCAAATGAAGTGAATGTTTATGTTCAAGTAATTCATTGAAGAACTATATAGTAAGTAAAGCTTCAATGTGCAACAGCACGCAAATAATCAAAAATGTATAAAACTCGTTCGTTATAAATTAATGTTATATATAATATATTATATTATATTTTATATAACATGAGAAAATTTATTTACCGCAATATCGGATATATTTTTATTTTTAAAAATCTTTTTAGCTGGTTTTTTTTTAATACTATCCTACTATTTTTTTTTATAAAGTTAAATAAAGTTTTACGATAATGCGGTAGTTAATTTTCACAAAATTATATCGACATTTGCTTTAAAAAATTTATTTCAGTCGGTTTTCTTAAAAGTATGTAACTTAACTCCAGCTTGTTGCTCAAGACCCAATTTTTTTCCGTTAACGACTAATATTATCGGTGTTTCAACGCGTATAGATTTAAAGTCAAAATCCTAAAAAAATATATAACTATTAATTATATCCATAACTTTAAGAGCTAGCTGATTTACATAAAAATACTAACGTTGTTCATATAAGAAAACTTGTGATGAATGACAAAAGGCTCAGGAATAGCGACTGAATCACCTACCGTAACTCCTCTACCCTTAGCTAAATTATATAGCGTAACGGCAATGCAAGTTTTCTCATGATCAACAAGGCAAAATGCACTACAAAGTAAGTATAATATTTATAACATTATTTAAATAAAAAATTTGTTAAATTCTCAGTATACTTACAAAGGTACACAATCGGAGTCCTGAATCCAGCATACTACTTTTCCAAGTACAACTTTTTCCCTATTCATTCCAAGCACTAAACTTTTCAATGGAACTAAATCTAATTTTATAGAGTTTTCACCCGATGTAAATGATCCACCTTTATATGGTCCTAAGTGTTTAGTATCCAATGCCTATAGTTAATTACAACCCTATAAATTTGTATACACACTGGGATCATGCTTTACGTTTACACAGAAAACGAAACAACTTCAGTATTACATACACGATAACGATCAAAATAAGTTATTAGTAAGATAATGAAGAGTTTGCAAATAATTGTTAAGTACCCTAATCATTTGATAAAGCCTTTTCGGTTTAACACGCCCATTTGTATTTACTAAATTTTGCACATCTTTTAAATAATGTAACAGTTCATCTCTTTTATTGGATGGGGTTTCCCATGTTGGATCCAATGACATTGCTCTCTCAAACGAATTTAATGCTAAATTATATTCTTCTTGATACTTTAATGCCTAAAATTAATTTCAATAGATAATTATAAATCGATTATGGAGATATATGTATTATAAAAATGTAATCAAACATATGATCGCAAAACTTACAATAGCTTTGTTATAAAATAAGTCTGGGTTACTTTTTGCTACAATATCTTTTTCCTGAAGATAGAAAATAAAAATTATTTGTTAATATTATTATCTATTATCATTTATTACTTACTGCTTGTGTATACGCTGACATACAAAGACGTAAAGTGTTAGGACTTTGTGCAAGTGTAAAAAAGGAAGACAAATAAGCATTTCCTAATATTGCCCAAGAGGTACCATCCGTTGTATCTAAACTGACAGATTCCTTGGCATATTCAACACCTTGTTGAATATTCTGTGCACGCTGCTCACTAGTCGAAGTTGGTTCTTGTCTTAGTACCATGGATAGATTACGTAAAGAGACTTTATTCTTACCCTAGACAAATAATATAAATACAAATTATTTAATAGCAATAATTTAAATAAGTAATATTTATACATATAAAAAACATACGTGAGATAAAGCACCAAGGAAACAATTTTTAGCCTGTTGAATATCATCATTCTTCCAATAACATTCTCCTAATTCGTTCCAGGCTTCGGTTAAATTTGGTTCTAATTTAACAGCTTTACTTAAGAGTTCTTCTGCTTGAGGAATATAACGATCTACAACGTTTAAAGCCTTTCCTTTTAAATAATAATACTTTGCCCGGCTACCATCTATTTCATAACCTTTGCATTCATCAAATTTACTAATAGTTTCTCTCATTTCTTTCTCAACATCACTATTTTTTTTAATAGCTTCTTTAATAAGATGATTTTCAAAATAATGATCCCGAAACAGATATAGAGACTTCACTTTTTCCTAAAAAGATAACAAAAATTATTATATTAAGTAATAATAATAATAATAATAATAATAATAATAATAATAATAATAATAATAATAATAATAATAATAATAATAATAATAGTAATAATAAAAAAATAAATATATTATAAATCTTCTTACTGTCAATGCTACGATGGGATCTTCTTTAATAGTATTTAAACTTTTGGCTCCTGCGACCACTTTATCGTCTATAATTGTAGACATTTTTCTTTCGAGAAATATAATGGTATAAACCGTTAGAAATAAGTTATTAATCGTCAAATAAACATGAAATAATCATTACGAATATTCATAGTGCAAAATTGTGCGGATTGCTCCGTTATTATAGAGCTGTCAAAACAGTAGCCGTTAGTTTATGAGGTTATACGTAGATCATGCGATCTTATCTAACATCACCGTATACTAGAAAAGGTAATAGACTCATAATCCATCCGTACCACTAGGTAGCGCAGTTCTGTCGTAATAATTTCTTCTTAGAATGTCTACAATAATCCTAGAAATATATGTACAGTTATTTAGTGAGTACTTCTTTTTATAACGACTAACCCCGTTCGTTGAATTTAACCAATGAAATTTAGTAATAGGTTAATTATAGTATAAAAAGTGAATGAGAGCTAAAAAAAAGAAGAGATACTATTATCTAGTATTATCCATTCATGAGCACATATTTCACAAATCAGATTCGTCCAATTGGATGGCCGATCAATTCTAGTCATTAGTAACTAAAAAGATAACTACGTTAAATGTCGATAGAGTGCGCGTCGGTAGGTTACCGCCATTGGAAGAAGAATCGACCGCAGTCAGGTCGTTGCAGAAAAGCGAGCTGTCGTTATATAGCCGACTAGTCGATGCTTGAGGCTTCCCCAGAAAGCTGCATCGTCTCGGTATCGCCATTTTATGTGTTTGGCTCTGACACTGGGACGGTGGGCGCGTGCGGTGTAAGGAGAGCGGCGAGGGAGCGAGAACTAACGCGAATAAGAGAACGAAAAAGAGAGAAAGAGAAGAGAAGACAGAAAGCAAAAAAAAAAAAGATAAAAAAGAGAGAGAGAAAGAGGGAAAGAGAGAGAGAGAGAGAGAGAGAGAGAGAGAGAGAGAGA